AATGCACTATATGCAAACTCCACCTGCTGGTTTGGTGAATTTGTTGGAAGTCGTTGGGTTTGTTGTTGCCATTTTCCGCTGGAGGCGAGGTGTTGGTATTATTCTGGCGGGCTGTGGTTTTGGATTGTCCTGGGTACCAGAGTATTGGTTGCCGTACTTTTTCTTGTCCTGGTCCTTGTGTTCAAGGACCCACTTCTTGTTTTCAGGCGTCATCTGCTTCCAGGCCTTGCTAGAAAATCCACTTCCTGGTGGAGGGCCACCAGTTCCTGTCCATTATTTTGCTGGTTGTTGTGCCGGTCCCAGCTGGGAGTTTACTTGGCAAGTCTGCGCCGTTCCTTCTTTTCCTTTTTCTTTTGGGCGCGGTCTTTTTGTTGCTTCTCTATTATTAGAGCCGTATCCATTGTAGCAGTTTTCCTCCCTTGCTTTGTTGGTCAACTCAGCTTCAGGTCCTCCAGGGAGTAGTCTGTGTAATGGTCAAGGATGTTTTGGAATATGTCATCCTCAATACCACTCACAAAAAGTTTCTCTGTAGGAACTCAGGTAGGGCCACCCCACAACTTCAATTTCAACAACCAATGTCTCAAACTTGGACTCATACCAGGAGTAGCCTCCCCTGTTTGCTTGTTGAGCTTGAGGGTTGGAGGGTCTCCATCCTGTTGGAGCATTCAATTCCTTGTCACTCCATGCTCATAACCTCCACCAATTTCTTCAGGCTGGCAGCCATCCAGGGTATTCAAGTAGGCATGAACCTTGGAGAAGGCAGTCCCACCCTCTTCTTCAGGACTAGGATGGAGAAGAACTCTGAACTTCAGCATCATAGCAGGATCCTTCTTCCTTCTCTTCAGGTGTTCCTTGATATCCTTGTCATCTTGATGGTAAGGAGATGCCCCTTTCGCATCAGGAGCAGATACTTAGGCAGAAGGTGGAAGACTCCAGTGGTTTTGTTCCCATCAAAAGCCTTGAAGTCAACATGCTGGCCTTCACCATTGTTTGGTGGTGAGTGCAGAGCTGGAGAAAGAGGCTAGATGTGAGTCTAGGTCCCATCCTCAGTATGGAGGGGGACCAGTCTTCTTGGTCTTGGGCTTGGGCTTGGGGGCTTCATCTTCTTCAGGTTCAGATTCTTCAGGGTCATCATCATGCTTGAGTCTTCTGGGTCACTGTCACCACCATCTCCAGCACCCCCCTTTTTGTCAAGCTTGAACTTGACCACCTTGGGCTTAGACCCCTTAGAGCCTCAGTTCCAAGGTTGGATTCAGTCTCAGTTCCACCAGATTCAGTCTTCTTGGTGTGATCCTTTGGATGGGGGTGTGTTGTAGCCATCCTTCAGATTTTCCTCTAGCTCTTTCTCAGCTCTGGCCTTGCTATCCTGCAACTTCAAGAGCTCATACTCAGCTAGGCTGCTTTCTTGGCTTCTCGGGCCAAGTCAACCTCCTCAATCCACTTGTCCTCGTAGTGTTCCTCGATTTGGTCAGGTCCAAATTCTCCTTCCAGTCTCCCAATTCGATATCCATCTTGCGAGGTCTTCCAGTGGTGGATCGGTACTTCCAAGTGTTGAGGGCTTGGGTTAGGGCATCCAGCTGTTCGAGCTGTACCCAAGTGATTGCTCGGGTATCCTTCTTCCTTCCACTCCTCCGCGGCCTTCTTGCTGAAGTTGCGGATCAACTTGGTAGGGGTAGTGATACTCATACCCCGAATGAACAGTAGTAGTTCAAGGGAGCACTCCCCGCATTCCATCACGAGGTACTCCATGATTTCGAAGCTCTTCCTTTCCCTGGGGGTCATTTCCGCGATGAAGCCGGCCAAAGCTTCATCCCTTGCTAGGTCCAGGCTGGCCTTGGAAGGGCTGTCTTCATCTTCAGATGCCATCTTGTCAGTAACTCAGAACAACACGAACTTTTAATCTGGCAAAGTCTTGAGGTCAACTCAAGACGCGTTTCAAGGTAGTTTGGGTGTGAATAGCAGGTGCTATCAGATGCAATAGGTACAATCCTTTGTCCTGGTCAACAGGTACACTTATTTGTTATGCTAAACTAAGAATTGTGAGCACACAGGGCTCCTAAAGTCAAATACAGTGGCACATTTCGAATGGCCGCGAAATGGGACTTCCTACAGGCCGTAAACGGGACTTCCAGCCACTCTGTGCATATAAACCTTCATCCAGGACTTCACCTGACCACCAAACATTGATATATAGGGACATTCATAGTCCAGGACTTCATAATGTCATCAAACATATAGTAATCATGCTTGTCCCAAGACCCCATAGTATCTTCCATCATCTAGGAGTCTTGCCCAAAGATACTTATGAGTCATGCCCAAAGATACTTATGAGTCATGCCTAAAGACTTAGAGCACAGGCCAACCATACAATATCCCAGAGTGAAACACTTCCAGGCAGCACACTTGTTCCAGGGACAGACAAGCTGAGAAACCAGCACTACTGTGTAAACACACCAGAGACAGACACAGTGGGAAGCCAGCAGTAATGTTTTCACATCATGTGGCTCCAATCCAACTCCTGTCAGCAAGTAAACGTGGCATCTCCAGAACAACATGTTTCGACCGCCGTCTGCATCAGCTGCATGTACTAGCAAGTCGGCCATCCATCATTCCTTTGAGTTCAAGCATCAAGCCCCTTGCCTCATGACAAAACGGGTGTGGCAGTTGTAGTCACTGGTCAAAGGGGCAAGCTGCTCCCGCACAAGAGGTTGAACCAATGTCTTCCAACTACTCTAGCCAGCATTGCCTTGCCGCCTTCGATGAATCTCCGAAACCAAAGACCTGGCAGAGGATTGCCATGAGCGATAGTAAGCTCGGTGAGGTTGCTCTTTACTTGCTAGTTTCATGAGCTTTGATTTCCAACCTTTTGAATGTCGTTGTGATGAGCTCTGTTGGTTAGCTCTGTGGTGTCAGCTTACTAGAATTTCCGCCCAAGGCCTTTTATTAAAGTGTGACACTCACCGGTTCTTTAGGAGTCATCCGAACGGTTCTCCCAACACTTCCAGAGCACACAGACAGCCCCATCAATTTCCCAGGTCGTCTGGTCGTATTACTGAGTTAATACTCAGTGTTCATTTTTCTGATTCTCTTCGCCTTCGCATTCTTTTCTTCTTGTTCATTAATACCAGTGAACTGAAAGCTCTTTATGTCTGTGTGCCTCAATGTTTTTGGTTGGAGCCTTCTAAGTATTAATAAAATAGATAAGCACAATAAAAGCGTCAGAGGTGAGAGAGCGAGAGAGTGTCAATATAGCTTTTTTCCAGAGCTGCGTACAGTCGTACGTAAGTCCATTATTTTGAAACACCCAACTACTGGAGAAGACTACTAGACTACTATAATACATGTACTGGGAACTAATCTACCGCATCTGTAGCTGTTGACAGTTGACAACTAATTGACCGGCAAGCCCTGGTTAGCTGACTAGCTAGCTAGCTAGGTGCTGGGTGGATCTGAGATTTGGGGTTAGCTGCTTTTCTAGCTGCCGATTGTGGCTTTCATAATCTGCTATCCTTCGACACTTTTCAACTGGACACTTACTTTGCACCACCACAACTACATTTTCTTTTTGTCTACAACCATGTCCAGCCTATGTTATTTCCTGCAGTGTAGATTGTTGCCGATCTGCGCTGAAGGCATCACCATTACAACCGACAACGCAAAATCCCATGGTTTAATCCCATCCTCGTTGCCACTCTCAAGGTCCGGAAGGAGGCGTAACGCCGTGCATCATGATAGCCAGAGACGAAACTGTCTCACTTGCAATGGCCAGAAGAAGAAGGAGAAGAAGCACATCAGTAGGTGGGATAGCCTTCCCAGCACAGCGTCGACCACAGCACCACACGAATCCAAATCAAGCACCGCTGCAAAGCAGAAGGGTTTGCGAAGGAGTGTCAGCTATCCGTCAGAAGTTCTGGACATTTCCATGAATCCTCCTCGTAGACCACAGCGCCAACTGAGTTTTACCCGTAGGGATGTCAAAAATGCAAGCTTCGAGAAACCAGGGGGTGCCCCTGTTGTATCTTCCGTGGAGGGACACGCAATGGGAAGATCGCCAGCATCCTGTAATGACACAGTTGCTCTGCTGGGCTTGGCTCCTGTTCCTTCTCGCGGAGAGCTCCCGCAAATAACTCGGCCAAGCGCTTTCCCTCCTTCGGCGTGAAGATTACTAAGAATAAGTAATAGTTTACTTCTTACACTAAGAGCATATCAACGAGGGTGTGCCAAAGTCAGTACAGGATGCATTGCTGGAGAGATTTCAACTTCCTGAAAACCCTGTTGCGGTACATGTAGATGCGACTCAAGCCATGATTAACATGGTTTCTAGTAGTGCGTATCTTGAGTCTTCTCCAAACTACCACATCTATATATCATTGTGTCCATGGTCCACACTGCTAATTCAGCTGACAAAATACCAAATGGTCACAGCCATATTGGATCTTCTGTCCCCAACATTCGTGTTGCCAGCCATTGGGACAAATGAGAGCTGGAAATTACCTCCTGTGTGCAATTGCTGCCTGGCTCGTCCAGTTTAGATGTACGCCAATTTCAGCATTCTCAATACATTGATGCTCCAATTTCCACAAATCAATCCAACGAAAGCCAAGTGAAGGATGATGCAAATGGTCCCTCCTATTCTATTCTGATAAACACCTTCATTTGGCTGAGGTTGCCATTGCAAGTACTCTACTTTGCAACGTGGAGATGTTTCACTTGTCGCGACCACTGAAAACTCATCACTTTCTTGCAGATGTGCCACACAACAAGCAGAAACATCCTCTGTACAATCTACAATGCACAGTGAATGAATTCTTGCATGCTCTGTGTGTTCAGGAGGAGGGTAGAAAGGCACCGCTTACTAGAATCTACCACTGCATCGGCTAAATCCAAGAAGACGCCGCTGTGCAGAACACTAGTAGTACTTGCCCTTCTGGCGAACAACAACCAACCAACAACAGCTGACATGTACGTAGCTAGCTCCCGAGTGCCAAGCATCTCATCTTCATGGACTCGCTGGGTGAGTTGACCCAAGCAGCTCATAGCTTTGGTCTGAGCGGAGAGTATCGTGCAGCACTTGGCATGCTAGCGCCTTGGCTCTCTCAGCGCCTACTGTTCTTGTGTTCTTCTGAAGCAAAGATTCCCAGCTCGCTAGCGAGCCAGAAGCCTGCCAGGATCCAGGAGCTAGGAGGATTCAGATGTCCGCGTAGTGCCACTTTGTCGTTTCTTCTTCCATGTGGGAATGTAAAATTCCACAACCAAGAAGAGCAATACCCCCTCCAATTGTGCAGCTCGGTTGCTGATTTGGTGCAAGATCCTGGATGTCCCTGCTGGTTCCCAGATCTCATCAGCTTCTATTAGATGCTCTGTGACGAGCAGGTTTCTTTGGTCATGGTATAGGCCACAGTAGATTGTCTGGGCGAACTATTAGCCACCACAGTTGCCGAAATCAAGCATCCGCCCATAGCTCACCCATCGCATCGTGAACTTGGGTTCTCGATTCTGGCTAGAATCGAGAATAAGAATCGAACATTGGTCTTCTTTATTTTCAGTGGTACAGAGCTGGTTCGGTAAGTCTTCATTTCCCCGCCAGTGGTGAATCGGCATCGTTATAGTACAGCTGTGGTATAGTGGTACAGCAGCTGGTACAGCTTGTGGTATGCAGCTCTTTACAGCTTTGATTTTGCCAACTAAGTCTTATTAGAAGCACGTTCAGCTTCAAGAGGCTTTTCCAAGCTGATGAGTGACTGTGCTAGCGAAAACGGACATCTCCGTATCTCCGTGCCACCTTGCTTCGTCGAGAGCTCTAACTAATGTTAGCTGGTACAGCGTAGACTTTCTTTCCATCAGATTTGAGCTCTGCTCGCAGCTCACAATTCACAAATCAAATTATTTCAACAACAATCACAACCAACAGAAAACCATGTCGGCCCTACAACAGTTTATGGTGGCAAACTTTGCCCAATCCGTTCATAGCTTCAACATCGTTGAAGATAATCATGGTGGTTGCCCCATCCAACTTGAGACAATGAAGGCGAGAAAAGTCTCCAAAAAGATGTCCAGAAACCACCACAGCCGACCAAAGAAAGTTTCAGGAAATGGGCACGGAGCCTCCCGATGGGCCAGCCAACCAGTTGACTCTACCCGCTCCAATTCAGCGATCTTGTCCTGCAGCAAAGCTCCTCAAAGACCACAAAGAAGAGGAAGTCTGACAGTCGGCATCAACTTCTGTCCCTTTGTCGTTGCATCAATCCCAAACAACGAGAAAGAGATGGCATCAATGATTATCGCCACGCCATCTGCATAAACAAAGTCATGGGGATGCAATGCATGAAAAAGCAGCAGCTTGCACTTTTTGAACAATGTGTATCAAACGACTTGTAAATATTGACGATAGAAACAAATAGAATTTTTTAATATTAGAGCACTGAGAACATTCACTTTGCAAATTAATGCCTAGACAGACTAGTCAAGAGCGGGGTAGCTGATGTGGGCAGGCGAATGGTTCCTAAATTTAGAGGAGTTCAAGTCCAAATCACCGCCCTCTGTTGTACCTCAGTTGGATGGATTCAATGCTTCAACGTAAACGCCGAGACCGATAGCTATCTCCTACTAAGCGGCCCCAAACAAGACTGCTGGGTCTAGCTATCCAGATTACCAGTGGTTGGTTGTCAATCAACTTCTTGTGGGTCCATGTTTCTTGCTGGGCAGACTCTGGCGAAGAGAAGGGTGATACTATTGGCAGTTGAAACTGGTGACTACTACCAGAAAGGAGATCCAGCCACCACCACCCCACCAACCACAAAAGCCCACCACTAAAACATCTCAAGAAGATCCAGCTGGTGGTGATTCGAGTAGCCATCGGTCTGTAAGAGTAGAAGTATGGGTAAAAATGCACCGGACGAGGAGTTCGTTGGCGACCTATGCCTACTATTAGTACCGATGCCGGTGCAGCTTCTACAGCAAGCCTAGCCCTCCACAAAGAGCAAATAAAATAATAATGTAATATCCTTCCGCACCTCTTTGGAGAGGGCAACCCGCAGCCACAAATCCAAGGCCTGGCTCTTGGCTCTGGTAGACTTCCCAGCAAGAGAAGGGGATCACAATGTGCGAGTTTCTACTTGCAATCCCACTTGCAGGGAAAGAGGATGTACCGTAAGGATTTGTGGGACGCGCTGGGACGATGACTGATGATGCCGGTTCTGGGATTGCAGTTCGACAACAAAGGAATGGTTTGAGAATCCCAAGAACTAGACGTTCCCTACTGATGAGTAAATTCTAGCCCTCCTTGGTCTTTGCATTCCTTGTTCGTGGCCCGTGGGATTGCAGTTTAATTAAACTCAAAAACAAAACACCCAATCCAGAAGATGTGCCGATACAAGCCACTAGTGCCCAAGTGAGCCAGCCAGAAAGCTCCAGAAAGTAGAGAGAGCTGCGTCTTCGCGTCTTCTGTCAGTGGTTTCAAGTTTCAAAGCTTCAAAGGGTACCAGGACGGCCACTAAAACACTAAAACAGTGGTTAGTTGTGAATGGACGGAGGCCCAAGAACCCCAGCGAGAATTCGAAATCCGTGGTTGCATTCGATACCTTTACGGTTTTACAATTAATAGCGCTTCTTCTGTGCATGCACCATTGAAGAAACTGACAGAGTTTTAAGCTTTCCACCCTACTGATTGGCAAGATCGTTAAAACTTAGCTCGTCAAGCGTAGCGAATCTTCAAGCTCCACTCGGTTCCAATGAATCTTCTCTTGCTCCATTGCTCGATTGTTCCGTCAAGCCGAACACAGAATGTCCATTGTCAGCCAAGACGAGGCACGAGGCTTTCGCAACCGGCAAGCTGCATGAAGAGAGACTGATTACTGAGTACTGGTAGCTAGCTAACTACCTACTGGTACAGCTCCGGTACCGTACCCACGTACTAGCTCGGTACCGGTACCCACTCTATCGAGTTTTGTTTTTTTCTTTTTCTTTTTCTTTTTTGCTGGGACAGCACCTGACCGGCTTTGCATCAAATAAAGAAGAATCGTGAACCTATTGAGGGTGAATAACTGGTTCGAATCTAATTCCTTTTTTGCTGCAACTAGGAACTTTGAGAGCACAGTTGCTTAACACGAGTTTTCAGTCGAGCAAAAAGGGCAGCGAATGTGGACTTCAAGTACCCCCGCTCTTTTGTTTGGTTCGGTTGAGGCGACCAGGACTGACTACTGGATCATCGGGTCATCAGGAGCTCACATCGCCGATTCAATAAAAGAGAAAAATAGATAATTTTGTGTGGGCTCGGGCGATAGTTGAGTCTCTACAACAAAACTCACCGGTATTACCGAAAGATCTATTATTGTCAACAGCTCTAGTAGACTAGCTGGAGGTGGGTACTTTGGAGACTTTCCAGCAATGTTGAATGTGCTACTTCATACTGGCGACCTGGAGCTTGAGCCTTGGCTTGTTCTGAAACTCGAGGTCCTCTCACAAATCCTACTCCAGCAGATTTGAGCCCGTCTGCGAAGAACGAAAATGTGCAGCCCAGCCCTCCAAGACTTTCTGAGAAATACGTTGCCCTCAGCGCAGCATTTGACTATTGCCGCAGACAATGCAGCTGCCCCAGCATGTAAACTGGACTGTGTCTTGATGCCCCAAAGCAACTCTCTGACGCCACGAGCCCGAGGCAGAACCAAGACATCCGAGAAAGGCAAAACCAAGGCCTCCAAGAAGGGTATTTGCAGGTGGGACAGTGTTTCAGACTCTCGAACGTTGTCGCCGCCGTGCCCCCAAAGATTAAACCAAACGCAAGGACGAGCTTTGTCACCACCCAGCCCCAAAAGATCGAGCAGGGTTCATGCGCCCATCAGATGCAGAGATGATTGCAGCCCACCCCGTAGACCTCAGCGACAAGCAAGTCTCCGGGGAGGATTCCAAGTATGTAACTGTCACAACCTTTTGTTTCAAGCTGACATTGATTCTGGGTTGCCATCGATTCAGGGAAACGCAAAACAGTCTAGCCCGAGTCGTCAAGACTGCAATGTGCGCCAAGGTAGCGGAGGTACGGGTACACCCAGCACACTTTTGGTAACACCCTCTGCCGCCTGAAGAGAGGGAAGAACACGACTTCGACAAAGCAAATTAGAGCCATAATAGTGTACTTTAGTAGAACAGATGTTGCTTGAACTCGAAACCTTCTGCAGTACTCGTGCGATCGAGTCGAATCTTCAATTCGTTCTTGGTGAGTACCGGTAGTGGTGCGAGTGTTTGCCACCACGAAGCCAGACCCCGGGCGGTGGTGCCGAGAAACATACTCTTCCAGCAGGCGCAATAGCACCTGGAAAGCTCCTTTGCTTCCTTCGTCTAGTCGATATGCAAAGAGGTGGTTACCAGCTCGCAGGTACCTCGCGCTCCCACCTGGTCTGTGCTTATGGGAGGGCTTAGCAAGGAAAACGAGTCCTGACATGTGACCACAAGGACCGGCGTGGACCTAGCCCTGTTCCCGAGACCCTCAAAGGAGTCCAGGAATGTCGCGCTTGCGTTGACCCTGAAGACTGGATGGTGTCCATGGATATGAGAAGAAAGATTTGGTATCTCGAGAGGATACAGTGTTAGGCTATCTGGTACGGTATGTGGGACTTCTCCAGGCTGCAAGGGGCACACCGCCATTCATCGTTTGCATCAGCGGCAGCCATGGTCACCCTGCCATGTTTGCTTTTGTTCCTTTGGTGGATCTTCCAGCAACGCCGCACCTGGCATCAGTCCTTGATTCTTTGGCTTCGGCAGGTTTCCAGCAGTCTTCACATGGTCAGGTTCCCCGGCAGCTCGCGCCCATGGCGCTTTGAACATCTCTTTGGTTGGCTGGATTCGATTCGATTTAAACCGGTTAAGGATAGAGTCATTTCTTCATCTGACCTGATCTCGGGTGCCAAGAGGAGTCACCCACTCACACCTACCCCGGCTGATGGGTGAAGTGAACAACAAGCCCAGAGGTGAAATAAAGGTGTGTTCTCTGAAGCAGTTTGCTTTCTTCAAACCACTTCATTGGGCTGGGACTGTACAATCATTTGAAATCTACTGTACTGCTTGTGGAGCTTGCATGCAAAACTTTGGCGTACTGGGTGTGGTATTGATGTTTGACACGCCGGCTCCCAGAGGCAGGGCCGGTCTCCCTGCCAAAGTCGGGTCGAGTCGAGTCGTTGCTATCGAACGAGACTGATTTCCGCCCTTGAGCAGGGATAGAGGACTGCATTGAGTACAGGGTTGAGGTGACCTCTGCATTCTGAGAGTTGGTGTGGGGGCAGTCACACGTGTTTGTTTCAAATAATGACTAAAAACTACGAGATCGTGATGTATCGTTTCTCGAATACTACATACATGTAGTACTCGAGTAGAGCCCTTTAGAATTAGGGTGTCCAACAAAAAGGTTCACGAGAACCCAATAAAAACCATGTTAAATCACAACATGCCCGCAATGACGCTATGATTGTAGAAAGACAGAAACAATGTCCTACCCACTCACCACTCACCCACTAGATCTACTCCTCGCCAATGTTTCAAAGATGAAGAGACATGGTTTGTTTTGGTAAAAAACAAAGAAGTTGAAAAAGCTCTACAATTGCCTCTACAACCTTGGTGGTGCCAGTTGGTACCGGTACTGTACATGTAGAAGATAACGCGTACGTCAGCAATGAGGTATGTGATGACATGGCCGCTTCCACAACTTGGACTCCCGTGTTCCACTTTCCACTGAGCAGCCGAGTTGCGTGTCTGAAAATTAAATTTTGTCTTTGTTATGTCAGATTTTGACAGCATCAGTTAGCTATCAGTTGCTGTGCAGTCTTTCTCCATTATTTTTTGCCTTGTCTGCAGAACTGTTTTTTAACTAAGTCTTATAATACTAGTACAGTAATCGATTGCGGGGTGCCTCGCTGGGAGCATTGCATGAATTATCCATTCGTCCTTGAACTGGTGTGGCTTGCAGTTTTGTCAGTTGTAAACCCAAAATTGACGGTGGCCGTCCAATTCTGAGACTGTTTGGAGATCGGACTGTAGTCCTTTGTGTAAATATTTTGCTGGCTCATTGGTTGCGAGCAAAGTACGAACCGGGGAGCTTAATTCTCAAGATCCTTTCCACAGTAAAGTGAAGTTCTGGAAGAAGTTCCTGTTCCTTAGTGGTGCCAGTTGGTACAGCTGGTATGGTAGCGATGCTAGCTAGCTGGGGACTGTGATGGGGTCAGTAGAAAACGCACCGGTTAGCACCTCACCGCACCAAGCGGTTCCAATGAGAAGATGTATTTGTGTATTTGTGTTGCTTTTGGTGGGCAGGAAACGAGTCCACTTTGGATTCATTCTTTGTGGGTTGTTGTGGCTCTGCTGTGAGCTGTGAGAAGACTCCGAACCAATGAACCAATACCAGTAACCAAGTCTCTTTCATTACTTTTTCGAGACCCATTTGTCTCACAACCACTTCTAGGCTTACACTTCACCATGTGCCAAACAACCGCGTTGATGCAGTTCATGCTGGAGAATCAGTTCTCTCTGAAGGACTGTGAGTTGGTGCAAGACAATGCCGTCGCTCCCAGTTCCAACGTCTCTCTTTCCATGTCGCTCTCCAATAACTCGTCCACCATCAATAATAGTTCTAGTCGCCACAGCCATCCGGGCCGACGACGATCTTCTCGGTCCTCGCGTGTTGGACGACAACAACAACAACGACGACAACGACGATCTTCCAGCGAGTTCGCCTCATCATCACAACAAGGAGAAGTCTCACGTGCTCAATTGTGCCGGTGGCAATCGTATCCCTTGACACGCTCGACATCACCCCCGCAAACACGGCTACCCCAACAAGCTCCTCTCCGACGTGCTGGAACATACCCACCATCCACACCCTCGTCTCCCTCCATTACGCCTCCCCAACAACCCAAACGACGAGCCAGCATCACCAGACCCCCCATGGAGGATCTCGACCTTAACATGGCAACCTTTCTCAAACTGGCTGAAGAACTGCAAGATGACGATTCTAGTACCACCACTGCCAGTAGTATCAGTACTGACGATGACGACGAGTGATTCTTACATTCTTACAACAAGAAAGGGTCAAGTGGGGCTGGCATAGCAAGAGATAGATGTCGTAGCTAGTCTAAGCATGGGATAGACACAGTTGCCAGATTGAAAAGCCATAGTGTCTTGTCCCCCTTACCGTACTCGTATAGGGCAGGCTACCGAACCCCAGCAAGTAGGCAAGGGTGTGTTGGCATCAAGCTACGGTAGCCAGATGCGTGCGACGCTGGAACCCGTCTTCGAAGCAGCAAGCCCGGCCAGGGCTCCAATAATGGCCGACGAGACACAAAAAAGGTGACAGTGGCAATCATCAAAAGGACCCCCACCATGGATCTTTCTGCAAGGCTGGCGGGAGTTGCAAATCCGTATCAATCTCAACGTTCCTTATCCTGCCCCCCTCAAACCTCCCAAGCCCGGCAAGCAAATATTTGCTTCCACTACCCACTTGGGAGCTTGTCTATAGCGCCTGCTCAGCCAAGTTGGCTGTGGATACATGCCTCTCTACCCGCAAGTGGAGACTGGTTTGCCAGCGACCCATGGTGACCATCCGCCTCCTGATGATAGACTAGTGCTGTCATGCTATAAATAAATGCCTGCCTCTACGGAGCTAGCTAGCAACAAGGTCTTACAAACCTAGCTTCTGATAAAGGGGATCCTGAGAGCAATACACTACCAATGTTTCATGGCCGGCTGGTAAGTAATTATGAAACCACATTGCGTCATGCTTTGGGGCAATGCTCACAAGTACAGCCGCACAGACTAGTTCCATAGCAGACTGACAGGTTGGTTGTTGGAACCGAATAGAAATTCCCACCAAAAAACTTCCTTTCGTGTGGCGAGACTATGGCACCACATAATCCATCAGGGATACTGCCTGTCAAGGATGTGTTACTCAACACCAAGCTCGTCAAGTTGTCCAACAAAAGTAGGTCGGTCGGAAGAGTCCCAGATAGGTTGGTATCTTGCACTTCAAGCTTCTCAAGACTATTCATCGAACCAATTTCCGTTGCAATCGAGCCCGAGAAAAGGTTGTCATTGATGTGCAACTCCTGTAGCTGAGTGAGTTGGTGGAGGACGCCTTGTTCCAACGGACTGCCTTCTAATTGGTTGGAACTCATGAGCAGTACTTTCAGTTCTTCAAGTAGAGCAGGCAGATGAAAAACATGAGCAAGAGACGAAACTTGCAAATCTAGTATAAGATGGCAACTCACGTGACATCTTTGATAACTCTTCTGGTAATGTGCCAGTGATGGAGTTCCTTTCCAAGTACAAGTAGTTCTGCAAAAATGGTACAACTCCCTTAGGGCATCGAGGACCAATACAAGGTTCATTCATTGTACCGTACTTACTAGCTTTGTCAACATTCCCATCTCACTCACAAGTGTGCCATTGAGTCGAAAGTCAGTGAGTTTTAAGGTTTGCAGATTGGTCAGCCTGCCAATTTCAGCTGTTCAAAACCAACATTTCGTTTTTGAGAGACCAGAAGGCAAATAAAGAGGAAGGAACTAATGGCACTTACTTGGGATTGATGTGAACCCCCCAGTTTTTCCAGAGCCTAGTCCTAGTATCTCCAAATTGTGCAGGTTTCGAACTACTCCAGGGAGGAAAGAAGATGTATCCAACAGAGGGCACTCTGAGAAAATCAAGGTCTTCAGGTTCGACAATCGAAGAACTTCGGCGGGGATGGATCCTGCGTAGGCAGAAAATATCGAGTGAGTCAAAAAGTCAAACTGTGGAATTTCTGCAATGCTTTGTCCACTCCCAGGCATACCAGAAAAGTTCGCTCCCTCAGACACCAGACCTGTCAGATTGCTTAAATTCCCAAGTTCAGTAGGTAAAGTCCCAATAAGCTCTCTACCTGAGATCAATAGATTCTTCAAGCTCTGTAGCTGACCCAGTTCAGTTGGTAGTGTGCCAGACGAGGTTGCTGAAAAGAACTGAATTAAAGCCAGCTTTGTCATCAGCCCAACCTCTGTTGGTATACTTCCCTTGAGCTGGTAGTTCCTAGCAAATGCAACTATTTCCAAGCTGTTGCAAAGCAGGGATATCTCTGGCGGCATTGTACCGTCCAGGTTGTTGGCATACCAAAATTGCAATGAAAGGAGTTTCCCATCGTCATCACAATTCACCTCTTGATTCAGTGGATCCCACAATCGTTGCTGTGTCCAGTTGCACTCATTGGTGTCCCAATCCAGCCAGCCTTGATTTTCCACCCAATGGTCTCCCCGTGTTGAATAATAAAATGTGGCCAATGCAAACTTTTGCCTTAGTCTCCATACTGCGAGATGCTCGGTATTGTTGGAGTTGTCGATATTAATGCTTAGCCATTGATATGCCTTGGTCTGTGGAGATCTAGGATTTTCCATTGCCGAGAGGGTGTATTGAGGTAGATTCAGTCTTTCCCATAGCGATAGTGGTGGTTGAGTTTTTGGCGTAGTAGCCAAAAAGGAATTTCCACTGACAGGAATCACCCCATTTTGCTGCTCTGTCAGCTCTTTATGATCGCCTGTTTTTGGAGCCAACAGAAATGCCACAAGAATAATTAATACAAGCACTTGGGCAACCATTGTTTCCATGGAAAGGAACAAGAACAGTTTCTTCTTCCATAATCTTTTTGCCCTCTTTGATATTGGCTCTGCTGTTGGAATCATCCCATTTTCGGAGGCATCAATTGGATCAGCATGAATAAGACCAGTGTCATGATCTCTGTTAGCTTGAGATGTAGGCACCATTTCCAATCCCAGTCCTTCCATGTCAGGAATCCTTCCAGTCAATGGACCGCTCCGTGGGCGCTGAATCGTCGATCTATGTCCATGTACAGAATAGGCTCCAGGTCCATCCTGTCTGATGCTTCCCGCTTGATTCGCTGCTGGTGAAGCTAATGATGGTACTGGCTCAATGCCGCGGATAATATCACTTAGTGTCAGGAGTGAGGAGACAATTAGAGCAGGGCAGAGTGGATGCTGATGTCCAATCACCACCTCCATGTCAGTCTTCTCGTGCTCCCCTTTCTTCTCACTACTATTTCCCAACGCATCATACAAGGTGCCAGTTGGTTGTGGTTGGACATCTTGACTCTGTGTCTTTTTCTCCTTCATGTCTTCTTTTCCATTAGTCTAATGGTATAGCCCTTGGCTTCGTTGGCGATGGCTCGGCTCGTTCTTGGGGCTTTCGTACTGCTCAACTTCCGCAGCCACTGAACAACTGAATCCAACACACTGGCTAGCTACTAGTAACAATAACGTAATTTGCTGGATGGTGGCACTCACTGGGAGCTAATACTGTACTGCAACAACAGGCCTGTCCTTTGCAGTTTGCAGTCGCGTGGTCGTTGCACGTGTTGAAGCCTTTACACAACACCCTTCAACTCGAAGGGTGCGAATTGCCACCAATTGCCGGAAGTCCGAGTGACGAGTGACGAGTCGAGTCGAGTCGAGTCGGAGAACTGGGCACGTTCTTTTCGAATTGAATCGAATCGAATCTTCAATCATTCTGCTCAATCCCTAAAGCTATCCCTAACCACCTTCACCTAGACTACGTACCTGCTCACTTTTTGGTTTGTGTAACCAAAACCTTTTCCAGAGTTTCGTTCATGAAACCTGTTGAAAAGGTGTGAACTTGAACGCACAATTTCTCTAATTTAATCAATATCCTTCCAGCTCTACTGTCTAGTAGACTGGCTATTTGTTTCGTTTTCTCTTTCTCTCTCGTTCAGATTGTGTTGAGCTCTACAACTGAGCTCGATATGCATACATATACCAGGATCTTTCGTCCTCTGTTTCTCGCAGTTTCATCTGCAGATAATCTCGTCGATCTATCTTCCTGAAGTGCATGGTTGGCCCTGGGGGCTTTCCCACTTTACTAAACCTATGGACTTCATCCGTCCATTCATTTGTTTCATCCCGTCGCTCCTTGCATTCATCTCTCTCGACCTAACTTCCTAACCTTTGTAGTTGCATCATCTAGACGACATTGTCCTCGTTCCTTGTACACCTGGCCATCTGATGATGATCGGATAACCATCTATTTGAGTCACACATCCCCATCACGAACCGTGATTGTGGATCCCGAGTCGTCTGTCCGTCATACGAAAATACCTTTCTAACACCCTTCCTGTTTCGCGATGATGGCAGCGACTTCTTACCAACTCAAACCAATTGCTCCTTGTCTCCTGTCAATTTTCGTGCATGTCTGTCGAGGGTCTCGACGTTGACATTCTTGGTTCCAATGTCGCTCACGTTGTCTTCCGAGCGAACGAAATCAATCTTCACTAGGCCGTCCTGCTGCATTTGGTTCACGTAGTGCCACCTCGTATCCATATGCCTGTTCGACTTGCACTTGTCTTGTCTCTGACATAAAGATAGCACCTACGTTATCGATCTTCACTTGCACAGGTAGTTCCACGTTGATCTGTAGGAACTTCAGAATCTGCGCGATGAACGGGACTTCTCGCACTGCTTCGCCACACGCGTAGAACTCAGCTTCGGAACTCGACAATGCTACGACCTTCTGTAGCTTGGACCTCCAGTGAATGAGTACACTTCGAGAAAGATCATCATGGACGTGACTGATCTTCTGTTGTTCTTGTCTCCGGCCCAATCCGAATCCGAGAATACTTCCAATTTCCACGGTCCTTCGTTCTTCTCTGGTCTCATCAAAAGTCCACGGTTCCTTGAGTCCAACACGTACTTTACCACCGCGTAGCATTTCCTTGTACGCTGCTGGCGTTGCGCATCCAAGACCTTAGCTAGCTCTCGTACGCGTTCGAGATTTCTGGCCTTGAATGCTTGATAAGGTACATGAGCATGCCTACTCCTGTTCGATATCTGCTCTGTTGTTCTTCAGCGATCCATTCGCTCTGTTCGTCTGTCTTTACTATTCCGAGTCCAGGTGTTCCCGCAGTCTTGTACTTGGGTAGCTTCTGTACCTCCTCTCCGAATGTGGTTTGAATCTTCTTGATCATGTGGGGTTGTCCCACCCATGCAGCATTCCTTTCGGGGATTCATCCGAATCTCACAGCTCAGGTAGTCCGTGAGTTCGTACTCTATGTCATGTTCAAGCCTCGATCTTTAATCCTTGAAGCACTTCCTTGAATCGTCTTCTTCTCCAATGGTGAGATTGTCATCCACGTAACATAGAATCACGCATATCTTCCCATTCTTGTTCCGCATGAAGAGGCATGGATCACTAGGACATGTAACGAATCCTAAGTCTTCCAGGACACTCGCAAACTTCAGTAGTACTGTCGTGCGCTCTGGCAAGCGCCGTAGATGGTCTTGTCCAGTATGACACATTCGTCATCTTGGTGTTCTAGTCCTTTTGGGCAGTTCCATGTAGATGACTACGTCCATGTCTCCATGTAGGAATGCTGTCTAAATATCAAGATAATTGCCTTCGCTTTTCCCATACTCTTTAGTAGTAGAATCAAGATTGATTCGGAAGGTGATGTCGTTAGCCACCTGGACTGTAGATGTTGTCAAAAATCAATTCGGGTACCTGACTGTAGCGCAGGCCACCAATCTAGCTCTGAATCTTCCATTCCGCTTGATTTCCAGCACCAACTTGTGTTTGACACATGTCTCCCTTCCTCCCATTCGTTGATCTCTTGATTTTTGCGCCAGACTTGAGTTTCTCCATCTTGTCTAGCTCGTCCTTTGATCGCTCTCCCTCCTACTTCTCTCGTGAATGGTTCCGGGTGGTCCCAAGCTTCCATCCGAACGTGCTTGGTTTGGTGAACAGATACTATGTACTTTGCTGATCCTGAGTCCTTGGGTCATATGCGAGAGTCTCTTGATCCATGGATGCCTGTTCTAGTCCTCCCGTCAAATCTTCTTCTGATGCCGTGTACCCAACTCCATCCAGTCTTCATGTGCGTTCCCAAAACGTTCTATCATTGGAGTCGTCGAAAAGTTTGCCATTTCTGTTATTGGCGGTGATTCCGGGTGT